CAGAAAGAAACAGTCATCAGTCTTTCTTTGCCCTGGTAACTGGATATTTTCATCTCTCTTTCATCTCAATACGTAATGTCGAAAGTTTCCATTGTGTATGATCATTATTGTTCGGAATAGTGTTTAATATTATATACATATATATTATAACTGTATGCATATACAGATCAATCGGTTTTTGTTTAAAATGAACTCTGTGCAAGTATGTTAAAATTGTTTTTGTAGATATATTTAATAATGTCTTTGGCCTGTAAGCAGTTGACGAGAAGGCAACGAAATAAGCAATGATGGTACCACTTTATTCTGCAAAAACTATAGTTCTTGCTTGGTTAAAAGTCAGGACTTTAATTGAAAATAAAGCAGACATATGTGACGAAGATACCCAGCAACCAACAACAATAAGCATCACTCCTCATCAAAGGGAGAAATATAAAGGTTGTCACCTATTTCACCCACGTAGCCAGTCGCCATCATTTTAACTAGAGTTTGCACAGATAAGGATGTCAAAGGCAGCTTCGGAAAATCAAGATACTCATTCATTACTGTGAAATCAGTGTGGAAATCTACAGCATTCAGCATTAGGAACAAGATCCAGATATTCAACACGAATGCCAAATAAGTTAATGCTCCTATGACTTGGTACGGACGTATTTTCAACAGCCTGACACAGGACTTCACTTACAGACACCTACGCTCGATAATGAAAATCACATGGCCGACCAGGAACGATAAGCAACAAGTGACTCTGGAAATGAAGCAAACATGAACATATCACCCAACAGACATACAAAAGGAAATATAAGTGGATTAGACATACTACTCTCAAAAATGTGTTGAGTGACAACACACACGAGACGCAAATAGGAAGCAATGAACTGTGCATCGGAGAGTAATATGGCGGAGATCGTGTGAGGAGCAATTGAAGACTTATAAGCAGTCGTGAAACCAACTTAGAAGGACTGCAGAAAACAGAGTGAAACGGAGATGTGCTGCCGAAGTTATATATTCCACTGGGGACCCCTAAGGAATAACAATCGTTTCTATCATTGGAGTCTTCGCTGCCAATCTCTGCTAGCATTTATTATTACTATTATAGAGTCTATTTTGAGTCAGTATTTAAGCTGACTTAGCACTTCATATTATTGAAACAATTAGTCCCTTTGATAAAAATGAATTAGGCATTTAGAAGACAAATTTCGGGAGATGATATAATTTCGTAGTTTCTTTATAACCGCTTTGCAACTAACATGTTTAGCAATAATAAAATAAAGTTCATGACAATTACTCAGTTAAATAAAAAACAAAAGTACATACTAATGACCAATCATACTTAAATAGGTCATGTAGTCCATGTTCCTATTCAGTATAAAGGTTCCCTAGTGAAATGTTTGTTCTCAAGGGCCCGAAAAATATGCACGAGTGACACACTGATGGATGAGTTTCGAAATATACATTCCGTTTTATTACCTAATGGTCATCCGGAGAACTTTATCACTTGTCACAGTAAAGGAAGACCACATCTCAAAAAGACAGCTTCTGTACCAAAGAAAGCTATCTACCTTTATTAACCTACCATTCAAGGGCGACCAGATTATGCAGTTGACAGCTAGCTCAGTGACATCGGTCAGCCATCAAACGCACATTCTACGCCACCGCATCTCTTTTTCTCATTTATCGAACATTTTCGATCCCTGTACCTACCTATGATTAAAGGACGAAATTCTACGGACTCTACTTCAAACTGTATCTACAAGTTCATCTGCAGCCGCGGTGACACCTGTATAGGTAGAACCAACACAATGTTCCAATGTGGTCGTCGAAAAGAACATGTTCCAAAATGGCTACTAAATCATATAGAAAATCCCAATGCGATTAATCTGAATAGAAATCCAGCATCATCCATTGCAAAACACTTATTAATGTCAGGTCACAAAATCAATATTAATGACTGTTTCACAATTATTCACAATTTGATGGAGGCACTTTGGATTAATCACATACAGTCTAAACTGTGTGTACAAAAATCAATAGACCTCAATCTGCGACTGCCATGGACAACATGACGTATCTAAATATGACTAGTCATTAGTATGTACTTTTGTTTTTTTTTTATTTAACTGAGTAATTGTCATGATTTTCATTTTATTATTATCGTTAACCATGTTAGTTGTACAGCGGTTGTAAAGAAACTATGAAATGGCGATATCATCTCGCGGCGAAATTCGTCTTCTAAATACCTAATTCAACTTCATTTTATGTTTGACATTTACTTGAGGTACGTTTTCTTGCATCTGTTAGTTTTCATGAAGCTGTTGACTTCTACTAGGTATATGTAACTGTTTTTGAGAGGTTGAGAAACAATGTCGGCCAGTGTTTGATGGCATATAGTGTAAGTTGTGTCACTCTCTATCAAGCTGAACAAAGTCTTATTGTTCTACTAACCGTTCGGTTTTTGTACAACAATCAGTATGTTTCATCCTAGTTTGGGAATCGTCGGCAGTACGCACCCACCGCTAGGGTTCGAACTCACGACCTTCCGGTTACAAGTCAAGCTTGTATACCATTCGGCCATTTGGACCCACAATCAGTATGTGGCATGAAGCATATACTGCATGAAACAAAGATAGTGTCCGACATTCAAAAGACTTTTGTGCGCTTGATAGTCAACTGTCACTTAGGTAAGTCGACACTGAAATTCAAATGCCATGATCAACTGTTAAGTACAGTTTCAGCCAGTGTTGAGTCATCAGCAGCATGTCATGATCGTGTGTTGATTACAGAATACACTACTAAACCTACAAACTTACTAAACTTTTCAAAATCCCAAGAAACTTCTCTATTTGAATCTACAATTCAACGGAGATTCTTCAGCAGAAATACTGCGAAACCGCCTGTGCCGTTCACTGAAGAAAACCTTCTTCACAGCTGAACTCAGACTAACTTTCTCTACAAAACCAATGATTCTCACAAACGTGAAGGATAAGCTTCCACTGGGGGCCTCATCAATGTGCATCTACCAATTCACCTGCTCATGTGGAGCTAGATATGTCGGCCGAACCCAGCGTTTTCTATCCAAACGAATCAGCGAACACTTACCTTCATGGTTTTATAAAGGAGAAAGAAGATCCCCCCGCCACAGCTCTATCCTAGAACACTTCATCGAATCCGGACATCAAGCAAACCCGCAAAACAACTTCTCAGTTATCTACACAATACGTGGGAATCTTGCCAAAAGAGTACGAATTAAACTTCTTCAAACTGCAGAAGCAATGGCAATTCACATATTGAATCCTGAACTCTGCATACAAAAGAAGTTTGTTCAATCACTAAATCTACAATGGTCCTGATCTATCTTAACACCAAGTACGTAATTTTGTCTTACCTCTTTCTTCTTTGTTTGTCTGTTTCTTAATTGCATTATTTATTACCCCCACCCTCTATTAAATCTCTACCCTCATGACGACTGTTGCTAACTCCATTTTCGTTTATTTTTAAGTGAATTCTACTCAGCTTATTAACTTGACTCTCATTCATTTTTCATTGAACCCTATCAATTAGATTACGTCATCCAACCTACTTTTGTAACTTTATTTTAGTTTCTAACAGATTAACGCCTTCTAAATTACGTAATTTGTTGTCAAAAAAAATTTAAAATTGCATTAACACGTCTTTGGAAATATTCCTTTTGTTGCCAAGAAAAATTACTATAAATTTGTGGTTTGTACAGCTTGAGAATGTTATCGCCGAAAAGAGTAACTCTTTGCTGAACGCCTTTTCTTTTCAAAATCTTCTAATAAATACTGAGATTCGAACCAGTTTCTTTATCACATCGGGTCAAGTGGTCTTTATAGCCTATTAGATGTGGGACAAATTAACCATTCACTCCCATAAATCAATAGAAAAAGTCAGATTTTCAAGAGTTGGTTTGTAAGGATTAGATCTGTTTCCCGAGTTTTACCACGGAATGATATCAGTTAGAGAACCATTGGAAGCTATGGAGTACTGGACAGCTGTTTCATCAGCTAAGTTTGCGAATCATCGGCAGTACGCACCCACTGGGGAGTTCGAACCCAGGACCTTCCGGTTACAAGTCAAGCTCGTATACCATCCAGCCACTGGGACCCTATTCAATGACCAGTCCATGAATTCTCGCTAACTTCTGCCAGTTCATGATACATTTAGCGCGACAACCAACAAATGTCATCGGCGGCCATCCGTCCTCACACGTGGCATCTGGTTGGACCTCACTGGTCACGACTTCTCACTAGAACTGCAGGAAACTCCGTCCTGTAGCAAGTCACTAGCGAGTATCAGATTAATTTCCAAGAGTTGGTCAAACTCTTAAAAACAAATCTAATCCCTTACAAACCAACTATTGAAAATTAATCTGATGCTCGCTAGTGACTTGCTACAGGACGGAGTTTCCTGGAGTTCTAGTGAGAAGTCGTGACCAATAAGGTCCATGAAGTCAGGAGGGAGAATGGAGTTCACACCGATGACATTGGTTAGTGGTCGCGCTAAGTCACGAATTGGTAGAAGTTAGAATTTATGGGCTGGCCATTGATGAGTCGGGTTCTAATGGCCGAATGGTCTACGAGCTTGCCTTGTAACCGGAAGGTCCTGGGCCCGAACCCTAGCGGTGAGTGCGTACTACTAATGGTTCCCAAACTAGACTGATTAAACAGCTGTCCAGTACTCCCTATCTGGTTTCCAATGGTTCTTTAACTGATATCAATCCGTGGTCAAACTCATAAAAAGTCAAATTTTGTAAAATCAATAGAAGTCATTAAATGCCTACAGCACAGATCAGAGATATACACAATCACACGATGTGTCCGCCTCACTAAACTTACAAAATAGTAGTGGTTTAGACAAATTCAAAATTCAAGGTCGTCTGTAACAACTACACTATGATATACAACAATTTTCAATGTTCAATTGAACAAAAACAGCATTCATTTGTTTAAATTTAATTTCGATAAATTATGTACATTCATTTTTTTCTCTCTATATATATATTCAAATACACTGACAGATGCTAATATTAATCATTGTGGTTAATACAAAAAGAAAATAGAAAATTGGTGAGTTGTTTTGCCCTAGAATATCCAAAAATAACTGGATAAAAAATAAACAAATCAACAACAAAAATGAAGGTTGATATGTTGTAGAAAAACAAACCAAAATTTTACATAATATCTTGTCCTACATAAATACATACATACAAACATCAGTATTCACAGATTAGAAATAAGTAGTAAGTAGTAATTTAAACAAAGACAATATAAAAAATGTGTACAAAACTGAGCATGGTTAAAAGACCTAGAAGCGGATGCAGTGTACACCCATCAGCATAGACATCCAAGATAGCTGGATTTGCATATGGATTACGTCCATCATCCCATGACATTGGACAAACATCAAATTGATATTCATCTTCAGTTAATTCTAATAATAATGAGGCACCTTCTTGTGGTAATGATGATTCAGCTGTTTGCATTTTAGAACAACGATTTCCACGACCACGTGACATTAAATAGGTACGAAAACCTAAGCGTTTATAGATCCAACAACGGAAATTGTTCGTTACCTAGATGAGAGATAATAGAAAGAAATATATATATACATATGTATGTGAAGAGTTAGAAACATACAGGGAGACGGAACGAAAGAGTCCAAGGCACTCTTGTAACGACGGAATACAAAAGTCAGGCAACAGATCGTTTATTGAGAAAATCAACAGATATTTATAGATTTTTATGTACATATTATTATTCGTTATTATTAGCAGAGAAACAATGTCTTCTGACCGGTCATTTTCTCACTGGAAGTTATTCTGTCATCTCTTTGTGGCCGTTTCTTTGAAGGTCAGACCATATATCTGCTAATCGTATCCTCCCACGCTGAGTCTGCTGTGAGTGGTTGTTGAGCTCCTCAAAGTTAGTCTCTGTTCTTCTTTTTCTCATGCTTAACAAACAGATTGACGAATAGGTTCCAACTTCTCGGCTAGCCAGCGGAATATATACTCATTCTCTAAATAATGGTAGTAAGACTTCTAACTGAAAGAGTGATTGTTTTTAGTACGAATGCGTAGAAAACAAATCAGTTCACTTAAAGCTGTTGAAGAATGTTAGGCTCCCAGCTTTATGGTAATTAAAGCTGACACCTAGTACTTTCTGTTGATGTACAGAGATGCAGCTCATTGGTTTGAGCACTTCTTCCTCAGCTAATGTATCACTGGCTCACTACCCACACTACCTAATTCAGATTGGGCAACTAAGTAGTATCACCAGCTCACTCCCATCGACACGATAAATGTGGCTCCTAGCCTTACGCATGTGAGATCTGATATGGGTGACTGAATTTTAGATGTAATTACTATACTACTTATGAGTAACTAAATTTTTTAATTCAAATTTTCTCACTTCGGAAACCGTTGTTAGGCCTTCATTTAGTTTGTTAACATAAATAATTTGATATGTAGCTGTGTCATTTTACTCACTGTGGCTTATGTGACAGTTCGTATTACATCATCACAAGTGTAAGCATCTAATTTACAACAAAATTAATGATAATGACAACAATTAGTAGTTACAGAACAATGAACTATTTCTAAGAGAAATTCAGGTGGTTAACTAACAATGAATTGCCGTCATGTAGTGAGCCGCAGTCACTTCTTACTGTGTACCATGAGTTGAGGACTGTGATCATCTATGTTGTGTACTAACTACCTTCTATAGAAAAGTTAAATATCCTAGTTTGAACGAGTGTTAATTGGGCAATGCATAAAAGCGAAGCATTATTAATACAATAGCCCAAAAATGTATACTAGCTTAAAAATCACGAAAAAGCTGTTTTATGTATGTTTAGCTTTGAAGTCTACCTACTGTCTAGGTATGAGACTATCAAGCAACATTTGCTGCTACAGACTAGCCAGAAGAATGAAGTCATCTAGGCAAAACATCTAGAAAGACTGCCAATTAATAATCTTATGTCAAGTGTCTGAAGAAACATATTTCACGCATCGTTACATGAATATACCAACAGACTATAACACTGTAGTAACCTCGATAGAAAGCTAAAAACCCTTTTAGCCTTGAAATCTACCAATCAGACGTGTAAGTGACCTAAAATATACTACCAGTGTGACACCTACGCACCTGCAGATGATTAAGACTGTCTCTCTGATTGGTAGATTTTGGTTTGTAGACACCACAGCCAATCTTCTAATTAGTGTCTAAGCCAATAAATATACTAGTGACCTTGAGACGATCAACTGCATTCAAAAGAAACCAATTGGAGTGAAGATAACCAACCAATATAATAACAACAAGTAGCAATCAATATCAACGGAAGAAGTTTGAAAGAGGTCACCTCCTTCACTTATATATGACTAGGCAGCATCCTTTCAACTACAGGTGGACGGCAGGCACCAGAATGTCAAGGCCAGAAGGCAAGACACACCTTCACCACTCTGAAATCAGCCTGGAAGGAAATCTTCTGAACTCAGTGTAGACAACAACAAAGCTCAGATTTTCAACACCAATGTGAGGTCATTTAGTGATTCTATATGTGGGTCAGAAACTTAGCAGTCGAGTCACGAAAAGCATTTCCAACAAGCCATCGCCTCCTTCGCTGGCAAGTGGCTGGCTAGAAAGTATTAGCAAGAAGAAACTCTGGCGAAAAACCAGTCAAGAAGCTATAGCTCGCTCAATCAATATGATGAAGAAAAAAGGAGATTGATCAAACCGTCGAATTACATAGCGCACTACGTTGACCGTCGAATGGAACGCGATTGGGAAACGACAATTTGGGCGTCGCTTCGAGAGTGACATGCAGGAGATTATATGAGGGAGAGAGAGAGAGGGCGATCGTGGGGCCAGCACAAAGAGGACTGCAGTCAACAGGAGATAATGGAGATGTGCTGGTGAGTCCCTATTTTCTATACAGAACCCAAGGTAACAATTATAATAATAATAATGATAATAGTAAAACACTATTCGACTGACTGTAAACAGTATCCTGTCATGGCACCTTACTGTAGCAAAGCCAGGGTTTTCTATCATTCTTCAAATTTCAATTGTGAAATGTTTGAATAGAATTTAATTTTTAGTAAAATTGTCCGAGAAACCTCGATTTGCTTGGGTAGCATATTGATCTGGCTCGAATGCACTATTCTGCACATCTTTGTCTGCAAGCGTTAATGTGTTCCAGGTGAACTATGTCGAAATATATTACTACTAGGTATATAAGGAGCAAGCAACAGTTGAAGGATGATATTTCACACTAAAATATGTCGCATATTTTTTGAAACCGCTGTTCTACCTTTTTTGATAACGATTCATTTTCTCTGAAGACTTCATTGATTTCATTGGTTACTAAGAGCTTCCACAGTTATTTAAAGGGAAGCGCTGATCACTTCAAATTCACGATTCCAGTTAAGTATTAGTGATGGATGCTGTCCAGGATTTAGGGGGGTGGGGGAAAGATTTCATCCAGAAAGTGCTTCAAACTAAACTCTTCCCAATAATTTCTCTAACCCTAACCCTAATAGATAGTTATTCGGTACTGTTAAAGGCAACATGATGTCATTCATATACGGCCTGTTAAAGAACAATATCGTTTTATTATATATGTCCAAAACAAGTTCACACCTAACGGTTTGATATAAAAATTTGGGCATTGGGTATATGATATTCATTATAATAAAGGTTTTTGTATTTCCCAATGAATGAAAAACAAAACGATATTGTTCTTACTGACGTTTCGCTATTTAATGCTAATAGCTTTATCAAAGTATTATTAAACCGGAATTTACAAAATCTCAGCATATATACATAGCAAAGAGTTAAGGGGTGAGAAAATAGACGAATAGAATCAGGCCACAAAATTGATTTTGACAATATTGAAATAATCCAGAAAAACTTCAGAAATCATAAAGAACGTCTAATATCAGAAGCACTTCATAAATATCAAGTGGAATCCGAATTGCCTGAATATGAATGATTGACTAAAACAGAATCTGACCTGGTTACAACTCCTCCCTCCCCCACCAAGTGACAAAATCAACACGAATGCGATAAGCAAGTTCACTATGTAAACACACACTGCTTTTATAATTTTACACACTTGTCAAATCCAACAATCTACACTTGGTTTTGTTATCTTTACCAATTGACCAACTTGACAACGAAAAATGATCCCAGACTGATGAACGGTGATCAAGTTAGTAAACTTTGTTTTGATATCATAACAGATGTACTATTACCTTTGTTATTTGGTTTAGTGATCTTCATTGTTATTTTGACTTTCAATGTGCCCTTTTAACTTGACCTAAGTCTATTTTCTCACCCCTTAACTCTTTGCTATGTATATATGCTGAGATTTTGTAAATTCCGGTTTAATAATACTTTGATAAAGTTATTAAGCATTAAATAGCGAAACGTCAGTAAACACGACAGTATCGTTTTGTTGTTTTTTTCATTCATTGGGAAATAGGAAAACCTTTATTATAATATCGTTTTATGCCCAAATTTAACTTTTTTTAGGCAATCGGTCGGTTTAAGGTCTTTGGTGCTCCTGTTGACATGATACCCTCTCGTCATTCGCCCAAAATGTAACCATATATGCATGCATATATGTATCATTAACTTACAGGATCTTGTTTATCATATGTGACTAGAAATGATTTTGTATCCTCCATCCAATAACCAACACATGTGATGTAATTATCCACGACGTTGTATTCAGATAATGGTTGACCAGCAAAATCTAAACGCCAGCATTTTTGCACATCAAGTTGTAATGTCTTTGGATCGTTTAAACAAGCTTCAATATTCGACTCCCAATAATTGTAACATAGAACCTTAAGGATAAGTAAGAGAAGACAGATGAAAAAAATATTCAGAGTTAAATGACATTTAAGCCAGAGGGAGATCTTACAGGATCCTTACAAGGCCACAGTTACAGTTGATTCCAACTATTTTGTAATACATTTTAAGGCCTACCACAACTTATTAAATGTGGACAAGTAATTATTGTTATCAAGCGTTGGTTTGCAGAGGTTTTGATTGGTTAAAGGCTTCATCATGAGCTGACATTAGTCGTCGGTTCGAAATCCGGTGGGTCCGTACTGCTGAAGGCTCCGGTCCTAAAAGACGTCCTAAACAAGGACCAATTAGCTGCCCGATATACTCCCTGGTTTTCCAATGGTTCTCCAAGTCATTTCAGCTAGTATTGAAACCTGTAATTATCGCTAGTTATACATGCTGGATAAGTTTCAACTAACATACTATTTTTATCATCGTTTTCTTCAGTTCCTAGAGTAGCATAGGGCTTCAGCCACACCTCTACATTGCATTCAGTTCTCCTCCAACCTTTTCACATGGCTCCATGTCTGCCCACATGCTTTCATCTCCTCTGCGCATGACCTAGTCCTCCATGTTACCCTCGCACTGACGACAAACTCGCCGCTTCCCATTCGGGTCCCACTCGAGTGATGGTCTGGCGTGTGATGTCACTTGATGATAGTTTTTTTTCTCAGAGTATTGCCAATTCAACTCCATTTCTTCCTGAATATTTGTTGCATAACTGGTTCCTGCTGGGTTGGTTCGACCCCAGAAATCCTTTTTGCTGATCTTTTCTGGCCGGCCATCTGATCTTGAATGATACTGAGAGAAGACAGGAGTTGATGAAGGTTTGTAGTTTATTCAAAGTGCCCTTCGTGACTCGCTGAGTCTGTGATCCGTATAGTAAGTAGTACTGACTTCACATTGGAGTTGAAAATCCGGATGTTATTTTTCATTCTGAGGAGTGCTGTTGATCTTCACACAGACTTGAGACTAATGAAAGCTTGCCTTCACTTTACATCTCATTTTTAAGTAAAAAGTATATTTCATGTCTTTTAGTAAGCATAGACAGATTGATATCAAATAGAGAACCATTGAAAGACAGTGAGTGTTAGATAACTGCTTCGTCCTATTTTAGGGCTCTTCAACCGTATGAAACCATGATCTCACCAAGCGTCCTACAGGTTACAAGACAAGCCCATTGATTATTCAGCCACTGAGGACCATTGAAAACCATGGAGTACTGGGCAGTAGTTTTCTCTTAGTTTGAAACTCTACAACAGTACTCACCCAGGATCTTCACGTTACTAGGACAGAATCCGATGGCCCATGAATTCTTTTTTCTGCTAATTAACGACATGAAACACAATTGCTAATGTCATCAGCGAGTATTTATCCTCACATCTAACCGGATGCACCCTACTGGTCACAATTTCTAACCACTGAGTGCTGTTGAAGAGTCTCAAACAAAGACGAAACAGATTTCTGATACTTCCATGTTGGTTTTCAGTAGTTCTCTAACTGATATCAATCTGTGGGCAAAACTGAAATCAATCAAATCCCTACAAACTAACTAATGCTAATAAAACTTGCAAAAGTTTATCACTCAGGCACTTAACTTGGGATTCTAGTGGGAAGCCGTGACCAGTACAATACAGCAGGTTGAATGTGAGGCAGTAACTCATCGAAGAAGACATTGCAAAGTGGTCACGCTATGTCATGAATTGGCTGACAGAAGTTATAATTCACGGGTTGGCCATTGGATTGGGTCCCAGTGGCTTAAGGATCTACTAGCTAGCTCGCTAGCCTTGTAATCAGAATGTCCTGGGTTCGAACTTTGGCTGTGGGTGTGTGCTGATGAGGAGTCCTAAACTAGGAAGAAACAGATGAAATCAAACAAAAAAATCCCTGAAAACACCAATGATTGAAAACTGAAAAGAGCTTACTTGAACCCATGGTCTAGGCGTCATTCCACCGGGGATTTTAGTAGTGTACTTCTCTTGTTCTTGACCGCGTTGAATAAATTTAAATTTACCTTGTATCGGACAATTAATAGGCGTCGGTGGATCTTGAATAAAATATTCATATGTCCATTCTATGTAATTCAGGGTAAATGAACTCCAATGGCATGCTTCACGATATAATCGCTGCATATAACTTGCACCCAACGACTGTCGTTCACGTGGCAGTAGGGGGAATGGTCGACCCATACGAAAACGAATTATGTTGTGATGTCTTGGCATAAAATCCATACACATAAAATCTGTTTCACTGTTGAAAGAAAGAAAAAAAGATTTATAAAATAATGAAATTAAAGAATTTAAATTACTATTATTATTTATATTATTATTATACGCGTTAGGACGCTTTCCACACGGATACGAGAACATATTCAAGCAGCATGGTTTTACAAGGCAGAAAGGAAGTGTGTGCGAAGCTCTGTTCTAGAACATATGATCGATTTCTGTCACTCTGCCAACCCTGACCATGATTTTAAGATCATCTACCGAATTCATGCTAACTTGCCACGTTTTCTTCGTTACAAACTTCTAAAGACAGCGGAGGCCTTGGCAATTCATGACTTTAGGCCAGACCTTTGTGTACAAAAGAAGTATGTGTCTTGGCCGTAGAGGGATAGACACTTATTTATTTATTTTGTTTATTTAGTTACTCTATGTACTTTTCCCTTATTACTACGATTATTATTACTGTCTTTATTATTATTACTATTCTCACTTTGAATCTTTTCCACTTGACCCACTTGACATTTTAAACCCAAAATTATTAATTTTTATTTTTACAATATTTAATTCTATCTTATCAAATTTCACACCATGTTATGTAACATTCTATATTCGTCTACTAATCCTATAATTATGCGTACCCCTTTCCACACATCTATACACCTTATGTATTATTCTTTATATGACATTAATTGTTTTGCCACTTGACTATGATTATAATCACAAATATTTTCATTGCATTTCACACTTCTATTATTGTTATTTGATGTATTCACACCTTTGATATAATTTCCTCATCGGATATAATTTCTTCAAAACCATATATACATGCAATTGTACAGCTTGATAATAAATTCGTTGAAAAGAGTCTCTTCGTTGAATATTGTGTTCTTAAGGAAACTATTGAACTTATGGATTCTCCGAAATATTAAATCTTATTACATGTCAATCAAATTTCAGTGTCACTCAATAATTCTCATGAATTGAAACATAGATTAGATAATTTAAAATCAGAGGTAGTGAAGAAAAAAAGTGGTTAGTTTGGACATCATCAGTACCATCAGTTTGCATAAAAGAATAACAATAAATATGCCGATGAAAGGCGTCAGAAACAAACTCACTTTTGACGAACAATTTAAACTTGGGACAGGAGTCCCACTGGAAGATGTAATACTAGGAGTGCCGCTATGTCTTACTTCTACAGTGTTTAAATTCCAAGGAAAAATATACAAACAAACTGTGAGGGTTATCATGGGATCATCAATATCCCACATATTAGTGGCCCGTATATTCATGCACAAGTGGGAAAACGTAATAACTGGTAGGTTCGACTCAACCCCCCAAATATGGTGGAGGTATGTAGATGACACATTCACAGTACTGAAAACGCTAGATATAAACAGGATTATCGAAAACATCACCTCAAGAAACATAGGCAATTCAATTCACTTATGAATTCGAAAGTCATGAAGGGGTGGGAGCTTCCAATGTTAAATTATGACATACAGAGGAAAGAAGATGGAAAGTTACAATACACTGGTGTTTCAAGAAAACCCACACATTCGAACGTATATATTTGAATTTCCAATTATCCCATCCCATGTCAGCAAAAAAGGATTAGTGAGATGACTGAGTGATAGGGCAGAAAAGCTAAATAGTACCAGAGAGAATACATAAGGCAGGAAGCTTTGAAACTTAATAATCAGCCTGATAAATTGGTCAGGAAGTATGTAGGAAAGTGTAAAAATAAAATTAATAATGATAATGACAGCAATACTGATAGTAATAATAATAATGACGTCAACATGAATGGCGAACATGTACAGGATAATGGCAACACCAACAATAAGGAATCCAAATCACCAGTAGTACTTCCAAAGAAGCAAGGAACCTCTGAAACCTTACGCAGAATTCTTAACAGTGGAGGGATAAAAATGGCGTTCAAACCCACAAATCCACTTAGAAACACAAATTATGTCGGTTAAAGCATCCTGTGGAGCCATTAAAACAAAACAATTTAGTTTATCTCATACCCTCCTGGAATGATTGTTAGGTCAAATACATAGGTCAAGTAGTAGAACAGGGGCAGTCAGTTAAACTAGCCGAGCATAAAAACCTAGCAGCGAAATCTAGATTAGTTGACCCAAATCAAATAAGAAATCTAGAAAATAGCTCAGTTATAGCTCTACATTCAATTTCACACATCCATACAATAGGATGGGATAAGATTACAGTTTTGAAATTAGATATAATAAGGAGGGTGGATCGACAACGGAAGCTTTTTTTATCTAATCAGCTGAAAATACGGGGAATAGGAATGATCCAACACCTGTCTACTTGGACATCTGGGAAATTCTACAACCCCTATGATGAATGGGAAAGAAAAATATAAAATTCAAGTTTCGAAGTTCTGTGGTTAAACTTGATGATATGATTATGGAGAATAAATTGTGTTTTGGAGAGTCATCGATTAAATAATAATAATAATGTTTCACTCTGTGATACATTCATAAAACAAGTTAATATGGAATCCTCTAACAGTGTTATGACTGATACAATCAATGCTGAGAAAGAGAATACACAAGAGAAGCTCAGCAAACACACCTATTCGGTGATTTCATCCTCAATAGCATCCGTACAATGTCATTTGTATACGTGAGTCGGCAAAGTTACAATTATTATTATTTAGTTCAGAAACTTGGCGTGTAATGAAGAGGATTTCCAACAGGTTACAGACTTCCATCAACAGCTGCCCACTTCCCTGGCTCCATAGTGAAGACCAAATAGCCAGAAAGAATTAGCAACAAGACACTCTACCGATGAACAAACCAACCAAGAACCGATCACTCAACAAATATATAGAAAAAAATGGTGATGGATCGGTCATACATTGAGGAAATCGTCGAATGACATCGCGCGCAAGGCAGGTCATCTCTAAAGTGGAATCCCATTTGGGAAGCGACGAGTGGGTTGTCAGCGCTAGGGTGACATAGAAGAGATCGTGTGAGGAAGAGATGAGAGAGTTTGGGCAGTCGTGGACCGAGCTGAAGAGGATGGCAGAAAATAGAAGAAAGTGGGGGTGTGTTGTTAAGGACGTATGTTCCACTCGGAACTCAAGGGAATAACAATATAATTCAACATAGTAACGAATGGAGATAATAATTTTCAGCTCGATACGAAAGTTCGATGGTGTGGATACAGATTGTAAGGGGTATACAGACAAAATTATACAGGATTAGAAAACAGTTGTGTGATGTGTAAAAATTCACCTACTCCTCTCAAAACATGTTAGAGAATACTACACAGAATGGTTGAAAAAGAACAGCACTGATTCAATCAGAAGCCGTATAATCAAACACCTCATCAGTACACCTGTCACAGCATCTCAGCTGACTCACCAATCAAAATCATTTACAAAGTGGATGAAAATTTACCAAAAGCAGTGTGTCTCAAACTTCTTTATAATGTAGTAGCCCTAGTCATATCGATTGAAAAGCAGAAGTTATGTGTTCGAAAGAAAATAGTTTAATCTCTACATTTAACATGAGTTTACTTCTGTTTGGCTGATTAGTAGTTTTCGTCTTCTCTCGTTCCCTTCAGGATTTTCATCTTCACATATAAAAGTTATCACTTCAGTTAGTTTCTATGGTCATCTCGTCCATACATGTCTTCGTCAAAACCTATTTCACATATTATGCAACTAGTCTCACCTTCAAACTTTCATATCAATTTTAAAAATTCCTTTAACCCCCCTTCGATACTATGTTGAAGTGAATAACAGTCGTAACTATATGAATTAATGCATAAAAACTGCGACCGTACAACTACTCCATAAAATGAAATCTCCGGAAAGATGTCTTTGATGAGCAAGTCTTGTTTATTTATCCTGTAATATCTCCACACTTTGATGCAATACTCTCTCTCTCCATCAGCACTGAAAGCTGTACGCCTTCAGGAAGTACCCTGCTTGTAGTAACAATTAAACCAACTAGCTTCTAGTTACTAATTTACCAAAACGACTGGTGTAGAGAGAATGGAGTTAGTTCACATTACGGTGACTACTGTTTTTTGTGTACCAAATTTATACTACTTACTACAATACGGTAGTATAAATATGGTTAGTTTATTTTGTCGTTGCCTTGTCGTACGAATTGTCTAATCCACCCCCCAAAATTAAGTCTCATTTAATACGTCAACACACAATTACGTCTGTATTCCTTTTCTATTCCAAAAGGTTAGACTGTATCTGTCATGCATATGCTTTTCATGCTCCATTCTCACTTGAACCTTGTTGAGTCAGTCTAACCCCTTTCTCCTTAGTATGTACATTCACGTGTGGTTTTATTTCTGTCCATGAGTTGTTTTCTAAACACAGTCCAGCTGTTATCTTTGTTGATGCTCTGTAACACTGCTCTTGATGACATTTAGCCAAGACACTACACCATTTTGAGGGGTGTGAACTTTTTCATTGTTACTGTACCGTAGTTTAGACAAATCCTGTGTTCCGGACGTTTTGCGCGTAACGCATGCATTTTAAATAATTATTTAGTCGAAAGTTTGGTTGATTATCATCGTTCTGGATTTCTTGGACGAAGAAGAAGAAGTCTACGATTCCTACAACTCTTCATTCTCTAGGAAGTGGAACAAGACGTATATTAGCAATCCTCTTCCGTCTTCCCTCTCCTACCCACCACTGAGCCACAAACTCATAGTAAACCACTTAAAAACCTTTAAATAAGAGTATTTAAAGAAGTTTAACGTGGTTAGAAATGCTTTGAACAATCGATTTGTTAACTTCATCATCCAGAAGTTATTATTTCAATCGCATGATATGCTGAAATCATTAACTGGAATTATTATTGTTTCTCATAGACGGAGAGTACCCAGACCTACCTACCAGCTGGATTAAAAAACCCTTATAAGAAAGGGGAAGTCTTAAGACAAACAATCTATCGTCGTTAGCTATGAAGTCATGACTGATTCATGCACTGGTATGATAACCCAATTGGACAGTTTTTTATTGGTTCACTTTTGGCTTAAATTTCCGAGGATTTCAAAACAATGTTGTCATTGTTATTCCAGTAAAATCTGATATTTCTGTCTATCTCAGTGTGGGGAAATATTTTCAAGTGATCAGTTAGTTATATTGTTGTGTATGAAGGCACATTCCGGTCAAGTTAGACAACAACTACAAAAATAGTAACACTCCGTTATAATATTACTATTATTAGTCACCCCTTAGATTCCAACATATCTCCATTGTGCTCAGTTTCCTCCAGTCGCTTTCACTTAGTTCCACTAACATTACCAACCTTTTAGTTGTTCTTCATATTGTCTCCTCAATGTCACTTTCGGAAACCTAACCTGCCGCTTTCCATTCTAATTCCACTCGAGGGTTTGCCTGGCGTGTGATTTTATTCAACAGTCTCCTCAACGTATATATCCAATACATCTCCATTGTCTTCTGCATATTTTTCGGTTGAGTAATAGGTTGTTGGTTGGTTCATTTTTACCCGCTGGCGTTCCCCGTTGTTTGTCCTTTCTGGCCGGCCGGAATCATACAATAGCTTGAATGTTTGAAAACAATCGTAACCAACTTCATTATTATTCAAAGTTGTCTTTGGATTTTTAAAAACTATTGATAGAATTAGCTAAAGGGTGAATGTAACGTTGATATTTGAAAAGCAACGCCTTTTACCGCCAAACTCACTTAAAATATTCACCCATGACTTATATTTCACTTGGCACAAAACTGACGATATATATTTTTTCTGACTCACTGAACTGATGCTAGATATCAAGCTTTCGAGAATGTGAATAACATTAAAACTCAGAAAACTATTGACATGTAAACAGATAAACAATGGATTATTATCCTACTATGGTGATCAAGGTCATCCTGGAAATAGACCAATCAGAATTGGCCTGCGTAAAATAACGCCCACCAGCATTTTATTGATCATTTTTATAGACTAACTGACATAACCTTGGTGATTTTTTGAATCAGACGTTATGGCGTAAAACGTATACTCTGGTTGATAGTTGTATGTTCTCACTTAAGTAGAATGGACTGGAGGAAACAGGTAGCTGACGCATAATATTAAAATTGGCGTAATTAAGTACTACGCATGATCATCACGTCTGTATCCATCTTCGGAGTCTTTATTAAACTCGAACGTAATACAAAATGTAACTTTGGTGACACTATAACAATTAAAACAATTAGGCCCTTTGATAAATTTGAGTAAGGCACTAAGAAGACAAATTTCGCGAGATAATATTTCGCAGTTTCTTTACAACCGCTGTACAACTAACATGGTTAACAATAATAATAAAATAAAGATCATGACAATTACTCAATTAAATAAAAAACAAAACAACAAAAGTACATACTAATGACCAATCATATTTAGATAGGTCAAGTAGTCCATGCTAGGCGAAGATTGAAGTCTATTGTTTTTTGTATACACAGTTTAGGCTGTATGTGATTAATCCAAAACTTTATAAACAACTTAAAGCAATTGGGTCACATACTCCCCGGCTTTATGGCCTTCCCACTGAGACCCATCTTAGACATGTCGAGTTCTCCACACCACAAAATTGCAAAATGGATTACAGAGGTCCTTACGCCTGTAAGAGACTCATTATCAAATCATTCCGTAAAAAGTTCATTTGATCTGACAGATATGCTAGACACCTTGAACATCAAGGATAAGGTTATGTGTTCAAATGACATAGAATCTTTATTCACCAATGTTCTCCTTAATGAAACTGTTGATTTTATTTGCGATTACTTACATCAGAGACATCATCTTAATGTGTACAGAAAATATTAGATTCACCTTCCAAGAAAAGGCACACAAACAAATCGATGGTGTTGCGATGGGTAGCCCTCTTGGGCCCCTGTTAGCAGATATTTTCATGTCGAAATTGGAAAGACAAATGCAAGGTGTGCTTTGAGAATTTATGCTGTATAAACATCATGTAGATGATACTCTCATTATTCGTAATAATAGTAAATCTATTGAAAACTTTATTACCCTATTTAATCATATTCATCCAAATATCCGAGTGACTTCCGAACTAGAATCGAATAACAAACTCGGTTTCCTGGATATTACTATGACTAGGAGAGATGATAGAACGATTCAACGATCTTCAAGTGTTGGTTTCTAGGGATTTGATTGGTTACAGGATTTGCATCATGAGCTGACATTAGTTAGAGAACCATTGGAAAACCTGGGAGTACTGGACAGCTGTTTCTTCCTAGTTTGGGACTCTTCAGCAGTACGATCTATTTTTTGTAGACAGACATGGAGTGGACAATATCTTCATTTTACCAGTTTTGTTCCTATCCAGTATAAACGTTCCCTAGTGAAATGTTTGTTCTCAAGGGCCCGAAAAAAATGCACGAGTGACACAGTGATGGATGAGTTTCGACATATACATTCAGTTTTATTAGCTAACGATTATCCAGAGAACTTTATCACTTGTCACAGTAAAGAATAATCACATCTCGAAAAGACAGCTTCTGTACCAAAGAAAGCTATCTATCTTTATTAACCTACCATTCAAGGGCGACCAGATTATGCAGTTGACAGCTAGCTCAAAGACTTCGGTCAGCCATCAAACGCACATTCTACGCCACCACATCTCTTTTTCTCACATACCGAACATCTTCGATCCCTGTACCTACCTACGATTAAAGGACGAAATTCTGTGGACTCTTCAAACTGTATCTACAAGTTCACCTGCATCTGTTGCTGTGACCCCTATATAGGTAGAACCAACACAATGTTCCAATGTGGTCGTCGAAAAGAACATGTTCCAAAATGGCTACTAAATCATATAGAAAATCCCAATGCGATTAATCTGAATAGAAATCCAGCATCATCCATCGCAAAACACTTACTATTGTCAGATCACAAAATCAATATTAATGACTTTCACAATTATTCACAATTTGATGGAAGCACTTTGGATTAATCACATACAGCCTAAACTGTGTGTACAAAAAACAATAGACTTCAATCTTCGACTACCATGGACTACTTGACTTATCTAAATATGATTGGTCATTAGTATGTACTTTTTTTTTATTTAACTGAGTAATTGTCATGAACTTTATTTTATGTATGTCTGATTTCCCTTAAATTGGAAGATATGCAAGCGAAATGCAACAAGTTGGCAGAAGAAGCATCAAAGATAGGACTTCAGGTGAACATAGAGAAAACAGAGGCGATGAAGATTCCTGGGCAACACCACCAACAGCAACAACAACAACAGACAAAGATCAGCATAAGTGGGAGGAACCTGAAAGAAACAACCTCTTTTACCCACCTGGGAAGCATCGTTTCAACTACAGGCCAACGGAACTGACGAGGATATCAAAGCAAGAATCCGAAAAGCAAGACAAGCTTTCACTACTCTCAAGTCTGTGTGTGGAGGTCAACAACACTCAGCATCAAAAATAAGATCCGGATTTTCAACTCCAATGTGAAGTCAGTGCTACTTTACGGATCAGAGACTTGGCCAGCGCGTCATAAAGACTATCTCAAACAAACTACAGACCTTCATTAACAGTTGTCTTCGCTCAATACTCAACATCAGATGGCCAGAAAAGATCACCAACAGGGATCTCTGGGAGCGAACCAACCAGGAACCGATTGTGAAACAAATATGCAGAAGGAAATGGAGATGGATTGGCCATACTCTGAGGAAACCATCAAGTGACATCACTAGACAAGCCATTGCTCAAGTGGAACCCGAAAGGGAAGCAGCGAGTTGGTCATCAATGCAAGGGTGACTTGGAGGAGGTCATGTGAACAGGAGATGAAAACGTGTGGGCAGACATGGAGCCAGGTGAAGACTCTAGCAGAGAACCGAACGCAATGGAGACGCACGGCTGAAGCCCTATGTTCCTCTAGGAATTAAAGGAAACAATAATAATAATAACCATGTTAGTTGTACAGCGGCTGTAAAGAAACTTCGAAATGACGATATCATCTCGCGGCGAAATTCGTCTTCACAATGCCTTATTCAAAATTATAACAATTGTAAGAAAAAATAAAAGTCGAACTTACCATTTCCCTAGGGTTACCACTGTCATTAAATAACGTGATTCCTGTTGTTGTCTGCATACAAAATAGATATGATCATACAAATAATTGGCTTGTTTCCGTTTCATGTAAATATGTGTTGCATTAATATCAACCTATGAGTAAAGTGTAAAAATATAAACAAAACTGAAATTTTAAAAAATGAAAATTTAGGCTAAAACTTTTACAAAATGGTTTTCTGTGCAAACGAAACACTGAAGGAAGAATTCAACAGTGATACTGATAATCTAACTAAGTAGAAACGTATATGTGATGAGATTTCTTAAGAAGATGTTGCCTAGTGTAGGGCAATGAAAGATCTCTTATATTTGTCACTATATCGATGAAAATCAGCTGAACATCGGATTACCGACGACCTGTTTAAAAGAACTACTACTGAGATGTACACTCAATGTGCAATTCACATTCAACGACATTATTTACAGACAACAAGATGGGATCGCAATGGGATCTCCACTGGGCCCATTACCAGCAGACTGCTTCATGGCAAGCCTCGAGAACGGCCCACTCAAATCAACCATCGACAATCTCCAGTTGTACGTTAGATATGTTGACGACATCTTTATCATCTATGATGACGATCACAACCTCAATCAACTACTACAAATATTCAACAAATGCCATCCAGCCACAAAGTTCACTTTGGAAACTGAAAACGAATCTAAAATCCCTTTTCTTGACGTTGAGCTTACAAGGAGAGATGACGGAACTTTAAGAAGGTCAATCCATAGGAAACCGACTTGGAACGGACAATTAACAAGCTTCTACAGCTGGGTACCAATCAGTCGGAAAAGAAACCTAATTAAATCTCTTGCCACTCGCGTCAGACGCATCTGCAGCTCCGACACCATGGAAGAAGAATTAAACTTCCTGAGGGAAATCTTCATACAAAATGGCTACCCACCAAGATTTGTAGACAGAAACATCAAACAAAAAAACCAAAAGCAAGAGACACAATCCGTGCCAAAAAAGATACTTTATATGAACCTAGACTTCAAAGGAGACCTACTTAGCGACGTCCTCAGAAGGAGAATTTCCACCTCTTTAGGAAGAACTTTCCCTGCCGCAACACTAAGAATAGTGTTCTCCAGTCGACCGCTGATCTGCAGAAACCCAAAGGACAAGATTCCGCACATGACCACTTCTATGTGTATATATCAGTTTACCTGTTGCTGTGGAGCCAGGTACATCGGTCGTTCAACGCTTATCCTGTCAAAAAGGGTCAAAGAACACTACCCAGCGTGGCTACAGAAAGGAAATAATGGCCATATAAGGAGTGCAATAATCGAACATCTCGTCAACACTGGTCATTCCTTCTCAACGAACGCCGCCTTCAAAGTGATCTACAAAGTGAAGAACAACCTCCCAAAGACAGTACGATTCCGTCTTCTTTGCATCGCAGAAGCCCTAGCCATCCAGTTGACGGAAACAGAGCTATGCACACAAAAGAAAATCATCCAACCACTTCTACTCGCATGGTAATAACTCCATTGATCTGACCCAACTCTTCTTTTTTTGTTTGATTTGACCTTACTTCTGTTTGTATGCTTATTTTTCTAACTTAAAACCCTTGTGTAATTCTGTATATTATTTTGCTTCCATGTACACCCTTTGAGTACACCTCATTCATCAAACTATTCATGCCATTGCGTAACTCTTATTTAACAATCATTTATGACAACTCATCATTTTTGTTGCTATCCTCTTATCAACATCCAATTCATTTGAACTTACTAACCGTATTTTCGTTTGACAAATTTAATGTATACACACACACACACACACACACACAAAATAACCATATATATTTGCGATTGTACAGCTTTGAAAATGAATTCGCCGAAAAGAGACTCTTTGCTGAACTACTTGTCTTTTGTCTACCAATGAAAGATCCTCAAAAAAAGCCATCCAGCTAGCTCAGACAACACAACTACATCAAAATATACGTTTACCAAAAGACACATAGAAAAATTATTCGCAGTCGACCAATCACGGTTAGAAAACAAACAGCTGTTCATAAAAACTCATATTCAGTGGTGGGGGTGGGGGGGATGTGATCAGTTAAGTAATATGCCAAAAAGTGTTCAGTGCCCTAAAAGGGACTTGTACTACTATGACTTCTTTCTTATCACTTTCAAACTAACCGATCATCATTGCTCAAGTGAAGGATAAGCTACTGAGCTGTATGCCTACAAATTTCTCTGTTTCTGTAGAGAAGGCTATTTAGGGCAAAAAGCAACTTAACCGAACGAGCTGCTGAACACCTTGCTTTATACTTAGGTAAAGGTCAGACAAAATCAATAAGAAGCGGAGTTTTGTGTCTCATATGATTAATAGTGATCATTAAGTGAATACAATATGCGTCTTTACAGTTGTGTATCATATTCCACCAAGTCTTTATAGGGGAATTAGAACTCTTCTCTTACATACAGTTAAAAATATGGGAACTAGGAAACATTATCTTGGATTCTGTGGGTTCAAAAGCAGTTTATCCTACAACTGTCTCTCGTATGACAAGAAAACAAACAAATTTGTCTGTCTTTTCCACACGAAAGTGTGTTTTTGGATCAGCAATAAGCAACCACCTTGCATGCATGCTTATTCCCTAGCAAATGTTTAAAATTTGAAAACTGACGGGTTATACGAATAATATATGCGTAAAGCTTGAGAAGTATGGTATTATGTAATTCCACATCAATTTGTTTATTGGATATATCACACACACACACAAACACAGTGGAACAGTATTGCTGTTCACTGGATGAGTTTCCAAAACATAATTTATTCTTCATAATCATCATATCATCAGTTACAACTACGCAACTTCGAAACCTGAGTTTTATGGTTCTCTTTATGCCTTCTTATTTGTCATAAGGATAGCAGGATTTTCCAGATATCAGGGTGGACAGGTGTTGAATAACTTCTGTTACACGTATTCTCCTCAGTTGATTCGACAAATAAAGCTTGCATTATCAGTCTTTACTTTTACCCAGGTATATCGGATATTAAAACCCTAATGTTATCTCATCCTATTGTATGGTTGTACGTAATTGCATGTAGTGAGTAGTATAGCTGAACTGTTCTCCAGATTTCTTATCCTATTAGGATCACTGAATGCAGATTTTGTTGGGCCTCTATGCTCCTCTAGTCTGACTGACCCCGTTCTCCTACTCTGACCTATGTATTTGACCTGACAATCATTACAGTAGGGTATTACATAAACTAAACCGTTTTGTTTAATTACCTGCACAGGATGCTTTAACCGACATAATTTGTGTTTCTAAGTGGGTTTGTGGGTTTGAATACTCCCTTTATCCGCGCCTTGTTAAGGATTCTAAGCAAAGATTCGGGGATTATTTCCTTGTATGGAAGTACTAATGGTGTTTTAAATTCCTAACTGTTGTTGCCATCATTCTGTGCGCATATGTCATGCATGTTGTCAATATCGTAATCATTAATTTTATTTTTATACTTTCCTACATACTTCCTGTTCAATTTATCAGGCTGATTATTAAGTTTCAAAGCTTCTCTTTGATACGCATCACTTCCTGTCTTAGATTTACCTTGGTACTATTTAGTTTTTCTACCCTATCACTCAGTCATCTCACTAATCTTATTTTGCTGACATGGAATGGGATGATTGGAAATTCAAATATATATGTTTGAATGTGTGACTTTTCTGAAAACACTAGTGTATTATAACTTTCCATCTTCTTTCCCTTTTTTGCCATAATTTAACATTGGAAGCTCCCCCTCCCTTCATGGCTTTCGAATTCATAAGTGAATTGAATTGCCTCTGTTTCTTGAGGTGATGTGTTCGAGAATCCTGTTTATATCTAGTGTTTTCAGTGCTGTGAATGTGTCATCTACATACCTCCACCATATTTGAGGGGTTGAGTCGAACCTTTCAGTTATTAAGCTTTCCCACGTATGCATGAATATACGGGCCACTAATATGTGGGATATTGATGATTCCATGATAACCCCTACAGTTTGTTTGTATATTTTTCCTTGGAATTTAAACACTGTAGAAGTCAGATATAGCTGCACTCCTATTATCATATTTTCAGTGGGACTTTTGTCCTAAGCGGTCAGAAACGACAGCTGACATCTGCCAGACAATCACTAAGAATCAACTGGCTCTGAATGCTAGTTTCCCCATCGCATTTCAGATTATCCTGCTACTCCCGCTTAAAACTTCACATGGGATAGAGTCAAAACCTTCAGCTCATTCTACACTGAGAATTTCAAAACTCACTTCTGAAACGAAGATGAAATAATCACCATCTTCAATTATATTACCATCTTTCATTAAAGATGTCAACTAGACTGACGTTCAAAAGGCTGGAGAACAAAAATTCTCAATCATATTATATTTGGAATAAAAAATATAGAAGGCCATAAGTCATTCGGCTTCCTTCTAACAATACATATCGTGAATTGGCAGAAGTTAGAATTCATGGGCTATTGGATCGGGTCCCAGTGGCTCAATTGTCTACGAGCTCGCCTTGTAACCAGAAGTTCCTAGGTTCGAACCCCGGTGCGTGCGTGAATACTGATGAGGAGTCCCAAACTAGAGCGAAACAGCTGTTCAGTGCTCCTAGGTTCTCCGGTGGTTGTCTAACTGATGTCAGCTCATGATAAAAAAAAACAATAAATGAATAAATAGAGACTTACAGAAGTTTGATATTCACTAGGATAAAACCAATGTCCACTGAAATTTGTTGGCAGTTTACATCCTGGTTGTAATTCGCTTATCTGACTGTCCGGATCAAAAGCAGGTCGAAGTTCAAGTCGAATAGGTGCATTATTATAATTATGTAATACTTTACAATCAGAATTTGTTGACATTCCTGTAAATAATAAATAGTATATCATGAAATCGATCATTCTGAATAGAACTAAGTGTGAAGCTGGAAAATATACCATTAACTCTTGTCCATTTGAAGTCAGCTACTGAAGATAGACTGTGTTTTTTATATACTGGGATGTGAGCCACACTTATTGTATGGGGAGTGATGATACTATCCAGTTTTCCCTGCTGAAATAGGCAAAGTAGAAATCGAACCTGATGCCAGCTGACTGAAATCCGGGTCTTTAACCCAGTTAATCACTTTCTACTGAGTAAGTGACCTATACACGTTGTAATCATATGTTAAATTAAAATTTTAAATAGACCCTGTGAAACATTTGAAATAATTCAAAATGAAATATCTATTTAAATAGATTAATATCAACATTTTTAGTTGAATCACCAGATAAAACGGTGGTAATGACATCAGTTCTCTTGAGATTGTCGATACAATTCATAATAATAATAATAATAATGATCTACTTTATCCCGAAAACAGTACTTATAATACAGAATGGAATTCTCACCATTTGTCACAATATTGCATCTGATTTACTCAAAATATAAATAAAATTAAAACAAAATTAACCAGAGGAATTTGTCCACATTTACGACATAAAGTCAAAAATATTCGAAGCAAGAATTGAGATTATTAAATATAATAATAATAACAGTTAGTTTGTTTCAAACGGTATTGTCGATTCAGTTCGGAAACTTTAGCATGTTATAGATTATTGGATCTAATGTTCTGCTGATATATTATAGTGAGGGGAAATACAAAATTAACAGTTATAATACAGCATAAATTGTGTCCACACTTATGAAAAAAATTAAAAACAATTGAGAGGATTATAAATATAAGAAATACAATAACAATAAAGGTTGATGCTTTAAGGGTGGAGGAAATGGTTTATTTATTGGTGCTAAGAAGGTTGGTTAGTTCATGCCTGACACTATTTTCATCACATAAAGTACGTGCTAAATATGGTATAGTGGAATTTTTGTACTTAGACATACGTGCATGAAGTCTTCTGAAAAGACTTCTTGTTTTAACTGAGGAGACACAAGGTTGGGGCTGTGGGTAGAGTGGATGCTCACAGTCTAACCAAAACTTTTTGGTGTAGATGAGACAAGAAAATAATTTTTCAAACTGTCACAAATTAGTTTCCTCCATTACCATCATCACTATTTAAAAAGATGAGCAGCTTAGTTATTGATGGTGAAACGGCAGTCTTAAGAAATGTATTTGTGTTAATGGGATGATATGTAATCATCAGAACGGTTAATACCAAGGGAATACTACGGGTTATACCTTACTGAAATGATATGGAATAAAAGATCTACTTATCACAGTAAAAAAGCCATTTAGCAAACACTTTTTATCTACTGCAGACGAAATATATGCGAAAACCAAATGGTTTCAAAAGAATCGCAGTATATCACCTTTTGTGTAAACGTAGCACCCAACACATCCTGACAATACAATAAAATGATCACAGGTTTCCAAAATAAACATCACATATGAAAATTTCCAATTTTTAACTGCAAACTAAAGCCCAATAAGATATGCTTATGACTGATAGATTTTTACTAGTAAACATAATTCCAATTAGATGTATAGCAAAATAACCCAGATGCTAAGAACCTACAGAGTTCAAGTCACTCAAATTACCAATTCATAAAAATACTAGAGGAGAATAATACTTTATTGAGGAGTTTATGTCCTAAACTTACCCCAGTAGAAAGTGTCCTGAGGATTTTGTTGGTCAATGCGCGTTGTCAAACAACGGTATTTAAACCTGAGCTGATTTGTATCATAGGCTATTGCAGCCCAAATGTTTCCACTTTTATCTGTCCAGCGACCATAACATCTCCATATGTTTGCCTTCCCGAAAACAATATTAGGATCTTCAAGAATTGACTTGTCCTGAAAGTTTGGACAGTAACCAAATGTTTGCTCCAAAATAGAATTGTCTCTTAGGGGAGATCCTTGCCTTTGACATGCTTTGATTATGCTGAATGGACTACTGCATAATCCAGTGCTTCCAACAATTCGATAATCAAATGCGTAAACTCCTTCAATGATACTTTTACAGTTAAAATCTGAGTAATCCTCTCGAGATCGGACAAATCCAGTCTCAAGTTCGGCTGCTACAAGGGAGGAGCATATGGTCGATTCATTTGATCCATATTCTGGTCTTTGGCATTGACCTGGAAGAAATATGGTTGATTCACAATAAGAACAACTTACTTCGTCTATACTGAAGGACATTTGGACTTCTAAATATGAAGTCATAACAGAAAAAGCAATCTTTTGTCCTTGTTAATATAAAGTTATTTAGGACAAACACTTACAAATTTTTATATAGGACGACGATATCTTCCACAGCTTCAGTATTCTGATTTTCAGACACTATCATGTGACATGACCCCCACAAATTTTCTATGGTTTGTATTAACTGAGACTTAAGAATCTGAGTAGTAGTTTCTTTTCCGTTTTCGATAGAGAACAGTGTTTTTACATACTTGTCAGGAATTTCACATATTCCTTCTGAATAAGATATTCGAAGAACTATAGTGTAAAAACTTTTGTCCAACACTTACATATGATCAGGAGAAATCCTAAATAACTTATCCGCATTGTTTCCGGACAGAAGCTTAGTGGGATTTTGTGTACCGCGCTGTTTACCAGCAGCGGACTGAGTGAGAGGTTAGCTGAACTAAACAAATCTTTTTTATGACAAAATCCAATGAACCCAGTACTGTTTTTACCAGCTGATATAAACTAGAGTTATCTCTTTGTATCAGCTTATAGGTGATGGTGAAACGGCGAAGTTAAAGAATGGACACTCAAAGAGCAAACGCACCAAAAACCTTGAAATGGACAGCTATCCTAAGAACGAAATTTGGTTGTTAAACACAGCCTATGCATAACACAAAGGAAATCTCAGGTGAGTTTCCTAGTGGCCCATCCCATCATTAGTCGTGGACCGAAAGGGCAGTGGAACTTCGGTTTAGTTTCTAGGAAAGATTAACCCTACTGATCAGGTAAGGGTACTGCTATGACTGGAGCTACTTCTGTCACAGACATCAATTTCAACTATGGCGATTGTGAGAATCTCAGCAGAATGAGTTCGAAAAGGAAGAAAAATAAAAAGCAAGTCAAATAAAGATAAGCAAACAAACAAAATCAGAAGAAAATTAGTCAGTGAGGGAAGTGTCAGGTCATGATTTGCTGAAGTTTACTTGAAGACCACTATTCAAGTTCTATATATGAGAACCCCATCTCGTAACGTTCCGTCTGACTATCATCTGAAAGCATGCCATATGTTGCTGTATGATTGTCTAGCCTCCGCTAAGAGATTGCCACAGACATTTCACTTGTAACGGATGCTACAATGCATTCTATAGGAAGCGAACTAGAATCATAAATGAGCGTCAAATCCCCTGATGAACTATTCATCATGTGTTACCATGTGAGCACCGGTTCACATACGGGGGGAACCTTCTTGTTGGTAATCTTATAAGAAGTGAATAGATCGCGTCTAAACCAGCAGTAGTTAAATGTGAAGGGATCTAGTTTCCACATAGTTCGAATGTACATTGCTTCGCGAAGGCTCATAATTCTTTATTGCTCTTCCTTGCACTTCTAGGTAGTAAAGTATACAGTGTATCTCAAGATGGAGTTGCACATGGGCTTCCTCAAATGTAGTGTTTGTGCACTTAGCTGCATACTGTATTGTATCGCATACTCTGACCACTTCATCCATATATTTGATGCTTGAATCTGTGTTGTCAATTAGAATGAAATCCCGGTGAATCTGTAATGTCACTCACGATGTTATAGACCATAATGGAGCAGCCCTCCCTCTGTAGTGCCTAGACGGTACTCAGTTTTATGAAGCTCTCATGACTGCCTGATTGTCCATACTTTTTACTCTTCTCCAAAGATTTTTGTCATCCGCAAACAAAATAGACTGTTAGCTTAGGTTGTGACTCGGGTAAGTGGTGAAACGTAAGAGAATTCGGAACCTCAGGACAGAAATTCCCACCATGGAAATGAATCATCTACGGGTGAAACAGTCTACTGATATCTATGTGATCTTATTGGGTAGGAGTGTGTCGAATACTACATGAACCGGGCATTCGTATCCCACAATAATGCCCAGTAATTCCTTGAAAACAGCAATTATGTTGCACAGGATCTATCTCTTATGATACCACGTGTCCAAGTAGTTGAAGAGTGAACGATCTATTCATGGTTGTTTGCTCAAACCCAACTCCATATTTTGGCGGGAGTCATCGATACTGCAGTCATCGTTCTATCGTTCGCTGTTTGTTAGAAGACAGAGAAAAACTATCAGAAAATTTGTGTACAATAACCTTGTGGTTGGTTCTGTATTGGCGCAAGAATATAGGATTCTTGAATCACCAATTTGTGTTTTGGTTTTTCCCGTTGGTTATTGACAATAGTTTCTGAAAGTCTTCTAAGAACAGCGTTAAGTCCAGGGTAGTTAGGCCTGGACATTGATACTACGTCATGATTCATGAAGTCCGCTTTTCACGTTAAGGTGGTTTCTAATACTGCCGTCAACCAGGCTTTCTAATATCCGTGATACTGCTAGCAGTAATGCTACGGGCTTACAGCGAATGTCATTCTCTTGATATCTAAATAAATAATAGTATATTCTCATTTTGTACATGAGGGACGCCAGTTTACAGGCATCATCAATATGATAAATTACATATACGATTAGTAAACATATTTAATAATAGTAATTTCATTAAATACATTTTTTCCTACCTGTGTAGGACACACCAATTGTACAGGCATGGATAAGTATCATTTAAATTACATAAATTTGGTTCATGGTAAAATTATAAGGTTGCGGTCATTTTGTCTATGGGAACAATATGATAACTAGTCATTCAATGGAACACATCAAGAAATATAGAAGTATTGTCTTCGCATTAACAAAAAAAACCCAAGTGTGTTTTGGATGGATTACAAATACTTGGGAAAAAAATAAAGCTTGAAGTAATTCCTCCATATAAATAAATAAATAAATTTTTTCTCATAGTATAGTACATGAGGGACGCCAGTTTACTGGCATCATCAAATTGTTACAGAAATAGAACCATATCATTCAATCACAATTTACAGGCAGTAGCAAGATATGCTTTACATGTTCGCTGGAGATTATACATACACTTGATAAATGTTAATCCCAGTAGTATAAAACAGCCTTTTCACTTATATACAATCATTTCTGTGCAAAGTTGGAAAAATCTGCTAGATTGTCAGTGAGTGCAACACAACAGGAAATACAGGAGTATTGTCTTCGCATTAACAAAAAAACCAGGTCTTTGGTGGATGGATTATAAGTGCCTGGGAAAAAAATAAAGCTTGAAGTAAATATTCATACATAACTTTGTTGTGTGCAGAATCATTGAATTATAGTTCATGGATGTGTTATTTTGGAATCAGTGGTGTGTTTGTCTCATTTGATCTGCAATGTCATTGTTGGGAGTAAGTACATAAGCTTCGGACGCATTAATTAATGGTTTTTTTCTGCTTGTGGGTATTTTCTTAGCGTTAGGAAGGTTTATGAGTTTCAGCTGTTCCGACAGGAGTTGAGAATACTAACTGCTCAGCAACATTATGGATATAAGTTCATCACATTATCTAAGGAAAGGCGGGTTGCAGTTGGTGAGGGATATATGGTGCCCAACGAGCGTTCATCTGTCCATGTGATGTTGTGGTGAGTTATACCTTTTTCATGTTGTCGGTTTATGTCCATTTTATTCCACTTATTGTGTTGGGTAGTAGTTTTACAAACGAGATTTCTTTTCTGTTTGAGGATACGTATCTTAACCGTTAATGTTTTATCTAGAATTATAAATATAGGCAAAAAACAACAGGTGTAGTATTTAAGCTTATACATTAAATGGACCTATAATTTCGGAGGCTCTCGGATAGGAATTAGAACTACTATCGTTTGCAAACTCTCGTAGTTTGTCATTAAGCACCTTTTTGAAGGAGGCCAATGTACTTGCTTGACGCATTTCCATTGGCAGTTTATTCCATATCTGTGCAAACCTAATCAAGTAAAATTTTTGCCTGGTGGCTGTTTTACATTGTTCGATAGCTACTGTACCCTTAGTATGTCTTAGTTTGTAGCCATTGTCATCTGAAAGTCGAGTGCCATTAGTAGAGGTAAAAACTAAGTGGTTGAGAAGCTTATAGTAAAGTGTCAAGTTTAGTCTCAGGCGTCTTAGCCATAGTGTTTCTAGTCCTAGGGTATCACATCTAGTGGAGTAGTTCGTACCATTTTCAGTTCCGAGTAATTTTAACGTGAAGTACCTCTGCACTCCCTCGACTTTCAATTTGTCCTCTATGCGTATGCTACTATACATGAATGAACAGTAATCAAATAAAGGACGCACACAAACCTTGTACAACAGAATTCTAGACTCATTTCTGTAGAAGTTCCTGAGTAGAAAGCCGATAAGTCTGCGTGACTTTGACACTTGTTTGGAGATATGTTCAGAAAATGATAATTTATGTGAATATTTCAGCCCTAGGTCCAGTACAGATTCCAGTCGTTGAAGTGCATGGCCTTGAATTGTCAGGTCAAGTTCTAAATTGTTGCAACCTATGCAGAGCCAGCCACATTTTTCGACATTAAGTTGGAGTTGCCAGGTGTCACACCATCTATCCATTTTTTCTAATTCTTGCTGTATGGCGTTTACTGTTATTCCAATATCTGTGTTCTTGCATTTATAGGTCACTTTTAAGTCATCTGCATATAGTATTGGTTTACCTACATTAAAGCATTCACAGATACTGTTTATATATATTATGAATAAGAGTGGGCCTAATACACTTCCCTGGATTACACCACTACTTACTGGTTGAGGCCTTGAGATTATCGAGCCAACTTTCGTTGCCTGACTTCGGCCACACAGAAATGATTTTATCCAGCTCAGGAGAGGATCACATATCCCTAGTGAGCATAACCTGCTGACTAGCAGATTATGGGGAACTCGGTCGAAGGCTTTTGTTATATCGAAATATAGTACAATTACTAGTTCTCTGTTGTCCCTACTTCGTGTAACTTCATTGAAAAAGTCTATGTGACAGGTCACACATGATCTTTTTTTAAGAAATCCGTGTTGTGATGGATTGATAAGTTCATGTTCTAGTAAGTTGTCTGACACTTGGTCTTTAACCACTTTCTCCATTATTCTGGATATTACCGGTGTTATATTGATAGGTCGATAGTTGCATACACTGGTTTTGGCCCCTGCTTTGTGCTTAGGTAATATGTATGTGGCTTTCCACACTTCAGGATAAGTTCCAGTTTCCAACGAGAGAGTAAATATTCTAAGTAACAAGACTACCATTTCCGTGCTACCATTTTTGTACATGACAGATGGTATGTCATCTGTTCCAGTACTACCATTAGACTTCAAAGTCTAACCCTAAGATTTGGAAAAATTATAACTCATTTCCACTCCATAACTAGTTCTTTTGTGTCTGAGGAGTACTGAAACAAGTGACACGGAGGGTCACTGCTGGATAGGGAAGAGTGTTTTAAACCAGGTAGACAACTCTAGGTACACAAAAAGGTGTGAAATAAAAACAACCGGCTTGTGGATAATTGTATTAATATCAAAAGTGGACATCGTGAT